CCGCCTATTCACATACGGTAGGGTATTATTAATTGATCCTCCCGTGATCTTGATATAGTGATCGGGGGATTAGTAATAATAATATGGACTTGATCGATTAAATGCCAATCTTAAATCAAATATTTATATGTAAACAATAGTTGTCGATTCAACTGTTCACCCTGATACCGGTGAACCAATATTTTTACCATTTCGAATGTCTTGCTTTGTACCGACTAATCTTGTTATAGCCGCCGGTATGTTGATACCAAAAAATCCTAGTGTAAGTTTCTTCAAGTATTAACATGGTTTTCTTTCATAGTCAATTTTAATCATAATTAGTTATACAAATCTCATCGAACCGATGAAATTTTTTAGATGAAAAGCATTATATTTTGGCAATGGGCTAATCAAAGTGTTAACGTTGCCATAAATTATAGTAATGCTAATAAAACTACTATGATGAGCATGAAGGAAACTGCTAGTAGGCTTTAATTTTATCTTTAAAAATTATTTTCCTTTACAAATCCAATTATAATCTAACTATAATCTAATTCGTTAATATATGCATATTTTTTAAATAGTCGCTTATGCTTCAGCTGTGACTACATCATGTGGAATAGCTGTTGGCTTAACACAAGCTATACCACGTCTAAAATTTTTATCTTCTTCAACTCGTGGAATTTTAGCTAGGTTGATACCTTTTGTGGCTGTCACAAGTGCTGGAACTGTTAATGTTTATTTAATGCGATTAAAAGAGATTAGGTTTGTGGTCATTCATCTCGTTATGATTTGATTTGATATAATATATTTAATAATAAATGTTATTTCAAGCTAGAGGTGGGATTGATGTTTATGATACTGATGGGAATAGTTTGGGTAAATCGCAAAAAGCTGGTGCAAGCGCCGTTGGACAGGTTTGAAACTAAGGGGTTTTTTTTATCTCTCTTCTCTCTTTTTTTATTAAATCTTTAATTGTATTAATATTAATAATTAATAATTTAGGTTGCAATCTCTCGCATACTCACCAGTATTCCAGTATTAACAGTTCCACCGCTTGTAATCTCACAACTTGAAAAGACAAAATTATTAATAAGTAACCCTAGGCTTGCTACTCCCATTAACCTTGGTATGATTCTTCTTTATTAATAATAATTTTCTATTATGTTTTCTCAGATCCCTTGCAGTATAATTGACCTCTTTAATAAAATTTATTATTGATCAATTGATTATGAAGTGGGGTCACTTATACTGCAAGGAATCCGTTCTCTCTCATTTCATTTAATACTGATTCTCTCAAACATTTTTACTACTAAAGGCCTCATAACGTTGTCGTTAACGGGCGCTTTGCCATTAGCAATCGCAGCTTTTCCACAAAAAGCTATTATAGATCCATTAAAGTTGGAAGAGAAATTTTGGAATTTAAAGGATAAAAATGGTGAAATTATAAGAAAAGTATTTTTTAATAAAGGTTTATAAGGTTGTTTTTTTCAAAAGTTGAATGAATCACTTTTGTACGTAATCTGATTAAAGGATGTAGAAATTGGTGTTTATAAACAATATAATATTAGAAATATCTTTGGATTTGATTAAATATAGAATTAAATTGAAATTTTGAATCCTAATGTTATAAGTTTTGCCTGATTTACTTTAATGATTTTTTTAAACTGCAACTTTCAACTACCTACTTATTAACCTGAACCTTTTCTTATTTAATGTCTACAAAAAATAACTATTACAATGATTAATTTCGTGTAATATATTATATAGCAAGGACAGCATGTTTAAAAATGATTTTTAATACAGTAATCTAATCATTTGAATTAAAAAGCAAATTAAATTGTTTGACAAAAAATATATTATGATATAGTGTTTTCGATTTATTTTACAAATTTTCCATAGAATTAAGATTGAAAATCGCAAGTTGGTACTTTTTTTAAATCAATGCGCAGTATAGTAAATTTTGCAGCATAAATTTTGTACTGTTTTTAAAAATATAATTTTTATTTTTAAGTAAGATGCCAATTAATTTTGAAGAGCTTTTTTATAATCATATTTCTATAAATATAAACAAATCTTCTAAACTAGATATATTAACAGTTGTATTGCGACTTTTTGTATAATCAATTTATTTTATATTTTCTTTTAGTTTCTCAAATACAATCGGACTCCCCTAAATGTAGCTTGTAGAGAACAAACTTTTTACAACGTGCGTTTAGAGAACAATAAGAAAAACTGAATTTATGGGGTCAAGCATATACAGCAGATTCTCAAATGCAACTTTCTAAATGCAGCACCTGGCATTCCAAAAAACCCAATCGCTAACTTAACTCTACTTTAAAAGTCTAATCCTTAGAAAATTGAAATGAAAAAACTTCTAAAATCTTATGATAAAAATATATACTGGTGAATTTCATTTCTGATGATTTCTAAATAAATTTTAAGATTTAAGCTTTTTAAGTAAATTTTATAGAATTTTTATAGAACCTTAAGATTTTTTAAGTTAGCAGTTAAATTTACTATTATCTGCTTTACAGATTTAAAAAATACATATTTCTGGATTAGCACAACGTATTTGTATAGTTATCTTAATACATACATATACATTGATTTTAAACAAAAATTAATATAATAAACTGCCACTTAATAAAGCAACAAAAGAAATAATAAGCAATTCTAAATTTTTAAGGCAAATGCTTTGGACAGCAGCAGCATTGGGTGTAGGTGTAGTCGTAGGTGAACTTTGATTAAAAATGATGATTCTTATATAAATAATTGATTAAAACGTTTAACAATAACCAAAGGTTTCTTAAAACTTACGATCTGCTGGGAACCGGTCCAGTAGGACCTGGTGCGCCAGGACGCATTGGAGATTGACTACTGGTAATTATAGTTGGAGCTTGACTACTGGTTACTGGAGTTGGAGACTGGTTTGAAATGCTGCTGCTGTATTGCAATAAAGAAATTGTACTTTAAGTGAATTCATTTAGCATTAAGCTTAAAATTTCTATTTTTCTTGGATCAAGGAACATGACTTATTATTAATGCCAGCTAATTTTTTTTTTAATCTGATGTAACCTTTCATGACACTCGAATGAAAAGAAAATAAAGACTCATTATAAAAAAATATAATCATAGATAAGTCATTTTGGTTAAAGACATTATCGATCGCAGTGCACTGCCTAAAAGACCGAGTCTAATACAAAATATCTTACAAAATACCCAACAAAACCTTTACGTACAAAATACCCGAGGTATCTTTGATCAGTGATTGGATATTTTAAGTAGGGAACTTTACACGGGCATATATATTAAATATTTAGTGCCGTGCAAAATAACCTAGTATTATCCCTGGTAAAAAAAATAGCATATACCAGTAAAATATCTAGTACTTTACAAGAGAGATATTGGTATTTTAGGCAGCTCACTACGGTATTTAGTTTGAGCTTATTGCCTTTTGTGCCAAATGTAAAATGCCTCTCTCATTATAATAAGTAATTATAACATATAGGACTTAATTAGGCATCGCATCCCTGCGGTGTACTTATACATTGCATCTTAATGACCAAAACTAAGATTAAAAATGCATTTTAGAAATAATTCAACCAGTTATACTTACGGTCTAATAACAATATGTAGCATTAGGACATAAAAGTCGATTTGAGCACAATAACAAAGTTTATACTTACGGGCTAATAATTTACATATCGGATATTAATTTGCAAAAATGTTACGTATTAATGTAAAACTAAGATTAAAAGGATCTCTTGCAGTATAGGTGACACCACTAATAAAATGTATTATTAATCAATTGATATAGAATAGGTATCACCCATACTGCAAGAGATCCGATTAAAAATATATTTTAGAAATAATCTAACCTAGTTATACTTAAACCAACATGTAATATTAGGTTATGAAGCCATTTAAGCGCATGTTATAAAGTTTATGTATACTTCAGTACTTACAGGCTAATAATTCACATATTAATTTACAAAAATATTATTGTGAAATTAGTTACGTATGCTTAACGGATTAACAACAAAATACGTAACATTAAGTCATAAAAACAGATTTGAGCGCAATAACAAAGTTTATACTTACTTGCTGTTAATTTGCAAAAATGTTATTAGTGTGAAACTAAGATTAAAAATATATTTTAGAAATAATATAACCCAATTATACTTACCCACTAATAACACAACATGTAAAATTAGGTCATGAAAGGCAATTTGAGCGCAGTGACAATGTTATTCATGTGAAACTGAAATTAAAATTACATGTTAGAAATAATCCATCCCAGTTATACTTATGAACTAATAATAATAAAAATTTCGAAATAAAAATGTACATCAGTAAGTCACAGAGGAGTGCAATAATATTTATAATTTACCATCTAATGTTTAACAAATAATGTGTGCAAACATATATAAGTTATGAGATCTAGCATTGCTAAAATTGATTTAACTATGCCAAATCAGTTAATATAAATAAAGTTTATGCCTACTGGCTGATTAATAGAAATACATATAAACCAATGCATTAATGTATGACAGAAAAGCACAATTTAAAAATTATAAAATGATAAAGTTATGCTTACTCACTAATAAATAAAAAATAGATAAAATCATGCATCAATATTTATAGA